GCCTCCTGCCGGCAGCGGGCGGAGCAGCAGCGCCGGGAGAGCTCCGGGATGCGCTGGGAACCATCGGGAAAGGGATTTTTCCTCTCCATGCAAACCCAGGAGTTGGTATTTTTAGTAAAGTCCTGGACATTTCCAACGGAAAAAAAAAAAAAATTAAACCAAACCTTAAAATTCTGGTCGGCAAAAGAAATGGGTAGGAAAGATTTCAAGTCGATCTCCTCAGCAGAGTGGCTCAGGGGCTCAGTGGTGCCCAGATGGATATTTGGGATTGCGGGGTCAGGGCCAGGCAGGCCCTGAATGAAGACACAAAAATAGAAAAGCAAAATAAAAGGCTGAACCCCACCAGCTGTAATTCTTCCCCAGGCAAGCACCGACCTCGGGAGGCAGAAATGCTGCCCATGGGAATGGGGTGTAGGGCTCTGAGCTGGCTCCAAACCTCTGCCCTCGGCAAAGCTGTGGAGAGTTCTTAGGATGTCAGGGAGATATTAGGGAGAAATTCCTCCCTGGGAGAGTGGGCAGGCCCTGGCACAGGGTGCCCAGAGAAGCTGTGGCTGCCCCTGGATATCTGGAAGTGTATCTGGAAGTGTCCCAGGCCAGGTTGGAGCAGTCTGGGATATGGGAGGTGTCCCTGCCCATGGCAGGGGGTGGAATGAAAGGAGCCTTAATGTCCCTTCCAACCCAAACCACTCCAGAATTCTGTGATACTTTTGTAGAGCCACAGCCATGCCTGGGGTAAGCATTGGAAACAGCTCATTTGATATTTTCTCCTGGAACTTCTTTACTGTTGGGAAAAGTTGTGGTTTATGTCCTTTTGGAGAAAAAGTGGAAGCAGAGCTTTAGATTTTCTCTTTCTGTGCGTCCATCTTCCATGTTCCAGGACAGTTGCTTCAAAATAATTCATTTGTTTCTAAGCACAATGTTCCTTTCTGTACCAAAAGGGAGAAGAAAACAAATAATGGAATCATTAATTTTAATCTGATTTCAGAACACAGGGAACCATTGTAAACCTCTATCTTGAAATATTTTCAGGACAAATAGTAGAAATTAACTTTTTTTTCCCCATTAGTAACTTTCTACACAGGGAAAACACATTTCCAAGCTATTCTATTTATGTTCCACATGTTGCTGCAATTGCCTTGAATTGGATAGTGTGGAAAATCCTTTTTCTATCTAATCTGTCTCTCCACACTGCAGATAAGTAGGACAATATTATCCCAGAACTCCAAAAACTTTATGTACACAACATCTTATTTGAAATTAATGGGCACATTCACAGTCTCAGAAACCCATTTATTTTAGAAGAAACATCCTGCCTTTTTGGGGGCTTGCCATGTCTCAGCAGAGCAGGGTCAGGCTGAATATGGAGCTGTAGGTTGATTTATCTCCAGGATTCCTGCAATTTCTCACATGTCTGCTGGCATCACATCCAGGTAGGGATAGCATAAAGTGACATTTACTATTTCAGTCTTAAAGTGAGTGTGGATATTGTTGCTAATAATCATCCCCTTGTAAATTATAAATGTCAAGGACACCCAAACCCATGTTTTCACTGGAGCTTCTTTTTCAGAAAGAATTTCTTCCATTTGTCAGGCTGGTGAGGCTCCTTTTGGCAAACAGCACAGCATTAGCCTTTAGGGTGTTTGATCCCTGCCTTCAGCTCCTGCAGAATAAATTAATGAAATGGGCATTTTTTCTTAGGGGATGGCCTCACTTAAAGTCCATATGCTTTAAGTTGCCACTGGAATATTGCTTATTAAAAACGAGAGTAAATGGGGCTGATCCATGCCAGACGTGGAATCAGAGAATATTCTAAGTGTCCCTGGGAGCAGGATGACAGAGCTGGCAGAGGTTCCTGCTGCTGTTATTAAACCCAGAGCACTGCAGGGTCTGGGGTGCAGCAGAGGAACCAGGCAGAGTCCCCAGGCTCTGCTGCAGCACAGGGGAGGTGACATTTCTGTGCCACCACTGCAGTTCTGGGCTCCCTGAAGGGCTTCCCACCACGCAGCAGCCACGTCCCTTCTCCCCCAGCACATCCCCAGTGCTCAGCAGAAATCAGGATTGAATCCAGGAAATTCCAGCTGAGAAAATCAAGATCTAAACCATTCCTGAACGTCCCACCCAGTGAGCAGATGAAATGCAGCTCGTTCATTTGAGTCAGTCCAAACCAGGGCTGCAGATGAATTTTGAAACCCTCAAGAAATCGGTGAGTTCTTTACAACTCTGACTTCTTCAGAATTAAATAATTAGCAGAGTTTATGGAAAGGATAACAAGTGTAAATGGCTCTTGGAACAAGTGACATTCCCTAATTTAAAGATAAGATAATTACAGAAGAATTCTGCTTCTGATGTTGATTAAACTTCTGATGGTTGCGTTGTCTCCAGTGAAGCTGCTGCTCAAACAGACTTAAAGCCTCAAAGAAAACCAAAGATTTAAGTGCTAATTCAGCAAATTATTTCAATCCAAGCTCATCCTTAAATTCGTCCTTCATTCAGAAGGCACTGGTAAGATTTCTCGTTTCATGGGAGAGAAGGACATCCTTAATCTCATTAAATTTAAAGAAAATTTTATTGCTAGTGCCATCAATAAGGTTGGACTTGAGGGTGACCTGTGTGGGCTGGGTGAGGCCTGAGAACACCTCCATAGAAAAGGATATCTCTGCAGCCAAATGTGGACTTTTTTTTAAAAACTGGGAATTTCTCCTGTCAAATCTGTCTTTCCTGTCTTGTAGTTTGGTTTGGACCTTGCAGGAGTTTATTGAATGCCTCATGTTGTTCTACACATACTCCTTTCTCCCCCAAATTATCCTAATTAATGGCTTTTGATTTAAGTGTATTCTATAAAAAATAAGAAAAGCAAAATAATAATAATAATAATAAACTCCACTTGGTTTCTCTGTTAAATAACCCTGAAGAAAAATTTGCACATAGGGCAGCTGTTTAATGCATCAATCAGCATTTTATTTAGGAGAAAGTCCCAGAATTTGGGTCCAGCCCTCAGGATTTAGTCTTGGTCACACAACAATTTGTGTGTTTTTCAAAGCCTTAGAGTCAGGATTCCAGCTTGGAAATCTGAATTTTTGGGAAGCTTTCATCCTGCTAGAAGTGCCATTATTTTTTAGAGTTTCACAGATGAGAGCTTGGTGGGCCTGGCATAATAGGGATGTGAAGATGGATTATGGAGAGACCCAGAGCTCTCATTAGGGTAGGGAGGGAGGCCAGGCTCTGATGGGAATGACGGATTGGGCCATCTCCTGCCTTCCTCTCCCAAGGCAGCGCTCTGCATTTTGTGTTTTAATTTTAAAGATAATTACTTTCATTTAATCCCGTGCTTTTTAGGAAGGTAACGGAGATGGGGACATTTGTTATGGGCCCATCATCTCCCGTGTTTGAATTTGTTCCTGGTTAGTGAGGAGTGCTGGAAAAGGGGCTGGCTGGGGTGGGTTGTGCAGATTTTCCCTGTGCTTCATCCAAAAACGCCTCACCCACCTCAGAATATTCTGGTTTAAGGATTTCTTGCCAGTGATACGAGTAACAGAGCTGAGAGGTGAATATCCATGGAGTCCTTGATCCCTGCACCTTATTGTGTTGGCAAAGCAGCCTGAGTCTGCACCTATGGAAACATTCCTTTTTGGATCTGGAGCACTTTGGGATCTTCCTTCACTGTAACACTTTGGTTTGCCTTGCAGAGTTTTGGAGTTTGCAGCTGGACTCCTTCTGGATAAAACACCACGGAAAGCTGTGATCCAGGAATGTGCCAGAGGGAGCCCTGGGTGCCACTGCCACACTCCAGGGTGGATCCCTCGGGATCCCTGCTGCTGCTGCTGCTCCTAAATCCATGTTCACATACCTGATTTGCAAAGAATCTTGAGTGTTGTACCTTTGAAAATCAGGCTACTGATCTCAGCCCAATTTTACTGATTGCATTTTTATAATGAGTGCATACTGATTTACTGATTACCCCTGCCTCTCTCACTCATTCATAAACATTTATTTCACTCCTGTACCCAAGCAGCCATGGAAAAATCCAGTAGAGCAAATGAGACTTTTAGCAGCATCTAAATATCGACCTGGGAGATTTTTCCAGCATGGGAAGGTGCTCTTAGAAAAGAAGGAGCTCTGAGGGACCTCCCCAGAATTGCTGCTGGCTCGAGCAGTGCTCACATCAGAGTAATCATGACAGAGCAAGGGCTGTGTTGGCCGCTGAGTCTGGCCACATCTGCCTCTAATAACAGATTTATATGACATGAGCTATCATTAAGGAGTTGCTGAGTGATAACAATGCATTTGCATGGGTGGGGGCACTGTATTTCTAACCTCCTATACTGTGACTAAATTCAAAATTTTAAATGGTTTGCAAAAGTTCTGTCTACTTACCAGATTTAGTCAGGCTTGCTTAATCAATTACAAAAACCAATTCATTTACTAAGAATTCGTAAATCACTTTGTATTTCTTAGTAACTTTTTGCTCTTCATACAGAGCAAAAGCACTTGGCTCTTTACATATCCTCCCTTAGTTCCATGTGCTTAAAATTAGCACGTGGCAGAGCTGAAGATTGTTTTTAAGAACAAACTCATTCCTATGCTCCCAACCCAAATGCAACAGGAAAAATACCATTATTGCAGGACTAAAGATAAAAAAGGGATTCAATTTTAAAACGCTTGTGGCAATGAAAAAATATAACTTCCAATGTGAGTCAATTCATTGAGGCCTTAACATTCATTTGTTGCAAATGGAGGGGGCAGTGGAATCCAAGGCCGGAGCCAATTGGCATCTTGCAGGCTGGGAAAGGTCAAGCGGTGGCTCGTGGTGTGTGTGCTACTCCCAGGCTTTGTTAAAATGCTGGGATTAAACAGAAGTTACATCTGAGGTCAAGTGACCGCAATAACAGGGGACACAGCAAGCCCTCAAATCATTCCCCAGGATGAAAATGACACGGAGCTGACATAATATCTGAGGTGAGATGGAACTGAAATCCTCAGCACCTGAACACTTCACCTACTGATGGGTAACCTGACCCTAACCAATCTTATAATCATACCCATGTCAGGGGGGAAGCTGCATTTCCAGGAGCAGAAGGTACAGTCACTCGCTTTTATTTATTTCATTTTTTTTTTGGGCACTGGCTCTGCTTCTGGAATGATGTTGTTAAAAGTTTCAATACTCTGCTTTAAGCCTTTCAAATCAACGTCTTCCATGGAAAATCAGCTGCCACCTTGGGGGCCAGAGCTCCCTGCCTGCTCGGGCTCTTCATTCCGGGTGCTTCGGTTTATGGAGCAGCAGCTGAACGGGCTCCTCGGGGGATTTGAAGAGATCCAGGTTGAGCTCAGAGCTGGAACTTTCAAACCAAAGTGCAGACAGCAAGGACTTGGGGTGATTGGGATTTTTTTCAGGCACGGGGAGTGATTTTTTGGCACAGGAAGTCACCTTTTGTAGTGGAACCATCTTTTAAGAAGAAAGGAAAAATGAAGCAGTTCATTGTACTGCTCCAAATAATGTCATATTGATAACTTTAATGGTGCAAACATCTCCCTATTTTTAAAACTATTATTTATATCTCTAAATCTCACCTCTTTAAATTTATCTTTCAAAAATGCATGCTGGAAGGTCCTGATTTCAGAGACTCCTTTGTGCTTTTACATCCACATTTTTCTGGAGAGGGCAGACAAGCTCAAATTAAAAATCCCTTTTACATAAGTGGAGCTGGATCAAAATCCTCCTACAATATTCCCTGAGCCAATCTATTTACACTTCCCCAAACAATCCTTGAGCTGGGCTGTGGGATGAATCAGCATGTATTTAAATCAAAGGCAGACAGGAAAGACTGCATCAGTTCTGTGCCACAGACCTGTCAAAGCCCCGAAGAGATTAAAGGCGTGACCCCTTCATCCCTAACATTGCTCCACAAGAGACATTTCTGTCACTATTTCTGCCACTTGGCTTTCTAAGATGCCACGAAGCCTTAGGGCGACCTCTGCTACATTTCAGTGTTGTTTATTGATTTCTGACCCAGTGCTTAATAGTTTTCCCAGTCCCCCTGAATGGCTTTTGTAAGCAATAGGGTTTGTGCATCTCACCGATCAATACCTTTTATATTTACAATAAAATTGAAACTGCTTCTGCTGGGGGTGCAGCCCAGCATTTGTCATCCTTCAGCGAGGGAAAACTATGTCATTATCTGAATTAAAACATTTATTTCTGATTAAGAGAGTGTCCTATCTCATTAATTTTTCCCTTTCCAATAGAAAGGGAATAGAATCCTATTGATTTTTGCACTTTTACACATCTCCACTGCTGGGAAGATAATTGAGAAGTTAGCCAGAATAAATGAAGTTTCAAGTCTAGCAGGCCAGCCAATACCTTCCAAATTCAAGGTGTTTTTATGAAGCTGGATTTTAATTTGTTGGCAAGCTGAAGCAGTGGGACTTATTCGGCTGAGTAAATTGGATTAAGAGTAGAATCTCCTTGAAGCGTGTCTTGGTGAATGCTGAGGGGCTTGTTCCCCCCAGACAGCCACGGACTTGCTGGAGATTTATGCTAAGACAGCTTCCAAATTGCCCTCCTTCAAAACTCCAGCTCGCTGCAGGAAGTGGGGATTAGTGGACCAAAAGCTGATTAACTCACTTCTCCTCCATTGTATCGCCTGTCTTAACCCAACTCCAAGCAGAGCTGAACTAGACCTTCAGATTTTCTGCCAATTGATTACTCTTTATTAGAATAATGGGATTAAATCAAGCTTCATTAAAAAGAATTCCCATTGCATGAATCCCTGTTCTGAGGACCTTTCCAGCATCAGTGTTTGCAGTGATGCCCCAGGTAAAGGCCACCCTTCCTTCTCTGTTTTCCTTCTGTTTTCCTCTCTCTGAATTAGAATTTTTCATTTCCTTCCTATAAAATCCGTGCCATCATTGTATATTCCACTAGAAACCAGAATGAGTGTTTATTCTTGGGGAACTATAAAAGTTTGGAGTTGAATTAGGCAATATATTCCATATTTTAATAAGTTAGATGGATGAATTTCATAATAGCTGTTTTAAAGCAGGGAAATACCTCTTCCCAAATATATTCTCAGAAAACATAGACTCCTCCATTTTTTTTGGATGTAAGGATCAAATATCCAAAAAAATCAACACCAAAATAGGAAAAAAAAAAATCACAATTTACACATTTAGCTCAGTGATCTCAATTCAGAGACTTCCAGTAGCAATCTGTGATCTCACTTTTATTCAAGCATTCTTTACAACTTGGTTCGAAGCATTAATTTGATTATTTTTCAATAATCCAAGATTTATAGACTGCAAGTTAAAAAAGCAAGGACTGGAACTTCTGAATTTGTGATACCTGGCTCTGGTGGGGCTTTTTTGGGAAGAGAGAGAATGCTGTGAATGTCTGAACCTTTTTAGTTTCTGAGGAAACAAATATAAAATACACAGGAAAAAGCCCTCTGAAAAAACAATGTAAATGCCATAGTTATAACAAATCAAGAGCACCAGATTAAAAATGCTGTGTAAGGGAAGAACTTAATTTCTTGCTGCATTTTAATGCACAGTCCCAAGCACCAAAGTATGCAAAAGGTTGAATACATTCATCACAAACATTTCTGTTTTCTCTTTTTACACCAATGAGAAATTACAAGATTACCAATGACCTTCCTACCAATGAAGCACCATAATTATGGTCATTTGTTATACAACAGAGATGAATGGATAGAATTTACATAGAATAAAAATATTATTTAACAGCTGTTATGGATGTGTGAAGTGCAATCCTAATTTATTTAAATGCTATAAATATATTGGTAATGTATTCTTTTCGAATTAACCTCATGAACTTTATACTGGCAAAACTTCAATTAATATTGCACTAAAATCCATTTCCTCCTGTTGTGGGGAATATTGAATTGGGAAAATCTACAGCTACAGCAGCAGCTCACTGCCTACAAGTTTTTGTTTGATTTTTTCATTCCTTGGCTGAAGCTCGTGGTATTGAAATGATTTAAAAAATGCTTTAAATTAAAATTAGACCAAACAGACTTTTACAAACCAGCTTTCTTTTCCTGTTAGTTTAAGTATACAATAAGAATTTATGAATGAGTTGCCAAACATTATTTTAAAATGTGAGGTTTGGTACTATATTCTGTGTATTCCAGGACTTTTTGCTCATCTCTCTGGCTTGGGAGTGAAATAAAAGAGGAAAACAGAGCCACACGGGGCTCATTTAACTCAGCCCTTTCTGGCTGCATATTACAAGGTGGATTTAAAGAGAACAACAGATCTGTGTTGTTGTTTGATTAATTTGGAAGCACAGGGGATGTTTGCATGTGTTTGTATCTCACATTTTGGGTTTATCTCTTTTGTATTCCGTCCATCTGCCCCGAGCTGTCATTATTCCATGTTCATCGACAGAAGAGTTATAGTTTGCAAAAACCTATCAGGTAGGCTGGACAGCAGATAATTGAGGTGATGATCAGTGCTAGCAAAAGACAATTGATAGTGATAGTGTCAGAGGCTGCACCTAACAAGATCTGCACCCTCTGTCTCCTTTAGCCTTCCTTTGGAAAGGACAGAATATGGAATAACATGGACATGTCTGATGTGCATCAATAGATAGGATGGCAGTGCATAATACTTCTTGGAACTGCAATCTGATGGTTGTATCTTTTGACATTGCAGCAGGTTATTAAATAGAAATGTGAACTATTAAGAGATGATCTTGACTTTCAATACATTTTTATCAAAGTCAAAAAATAGTTGACACCACTGAGTGGATCCACTTTGTGAAGGAGCAGAAAAATCTGGCATTCCAGGGGAGTCAAGGATCGTAATTGTCGTGTTCTTGAAGAGGAAGGCAGAGTTCAAACCACAGATATTTAATGGAAATAGAATAATTAACAAATGTGAATATGCATAATTATACCAGAGTATAAATAAACAAATAAGTACAAGTCCAATCTCCAATGTTTAAAGCTACTGGTGAATTAACCAACTGCAACAGTCGCAGGTATCAGAGTTAATTGATCCAGATTCCAGGAATGTGTTTTCTCCTCACATGAGGCTGATCCAAGTGTGGAGCTTGGAACATGCAGACATTTCCCTGATCCACAGGGCAAGCAGCTTGACCCTGTCTCTGAAGATTTCAGCATCTGCAATTATAAAACTGAATACTGGACATTAAACCATGGGAATGCATTTAAATCTCGTTCTTCCAAAAGCACCGCATCATCTGCACCATTTTGGATTACTCTTTACTTTTCTGGACATTTAAAAATGTCATTTTTCTTCCTGATTTTCAAAACCTACGTCTTTATTTCAACCCAAACGCTCTGTTTCTGCTCTCAGCTCCATGACAGCCTCCTGTAGTACTTTTTTAGCATTTTCACAGAACAGATGAGATCTTGCACACAAGACCCATTTGGCCAGCTCCAAGTGTCCCAATTTTGCACAGCTGCACATCTTCCATTGTGCAGGAAGGGTCAGCGTGGGCAGCCTGGGGTAGGATTTATCCTCCTCTGCCCAGCTGTAATGTATGCAAGGAAATCGTGGCTTTGCATGGCCATTAAACACCCTATAGTCTATATAAAAACATGCAAAGTTGAGGCTTAATAGCAATAAAATATTATGGGTACTGCCCTTGCTCATGGCTGAGAGAGTGTGGCCCTTGATTGGGTAATTGGCAAACCACACACTGTGGCTCTCCCATGAATAATCATGTTTTTTCACTAGGGGAACAATAGGGGTACTTAATCCTCTAACTCTGCTTCCCAAAATGCGTCTCCATGGTTGTGGGGGCTCTTCCTGAGCATCCTGCACTCCCTTTCCCAGCAGTGTGCTCACAAAGCCATTTCATTCCTGCTCTGTGGCACTGAGGCTCTGCTGGCTTTTATTTTTCCCCGAGGCCAGTAGCCTTTGGGAGGGACTGGGACACATTAATGGAAAAGATCTGCTCCCTAATTCATGGCATTTCAGAGACCTTTGAATATATTGGGCTCCGGTTGAATTAATGTCATTTCAGTCAGGACGGGAAGTTTACTGTAGTTTGTCAACTATCATTCATTTAGGAAGTCCAGTAATTTAATGTGC